CACCAGCGGGAAGCCAAGCTGGGTGGAAATAGCGGGTATCTCATTGGCAGCATAAATGGACCTGGCTTTGGGGACGCGGATGTCGTACTTCTTCCCAAAATCAGATAAGGTAACCTTGTGGCGCGAGTCGAACTGCTCCAGTGTGGGCAGGAACATTTTAATGCCCAGCTCGTCTTTGAACCGTTGTTCCAGCTTTATAAAATTATACAGTTCGGCATCGAAATTGGGGAAGAGAAAATCGATCTTTTCTTTTTCACAGATATAAGAGACACGGTCGAACAAGACATCCTGCCCGGCGGCGGGAAAGGGCATCTGGTAGACCTTATCAACATACTCACGCAGGTAAATACCGGGTTCCAGGGCTTCGTAAGAAAGGCCGATGATGCGGACTTCAAAGCTGGCCGCCGCTTTTAATGCCCGTATTACAGCAAGGCCCGGGCCGGGGTTGTCCGTTGCGTTGAGGCCTGTAACTGCAATGGTGTAAAGCGGTTTACTCATTTTCCAGCAATTTAAAATTGCGCAACATGGTGGTGAAGTCGTAATAGTCTTTCTCAAACGTAGCTTCATCGCAGATATAGTCGGCCATGACGGCAGCCATGATCTCCGGTTTATCTTTCTGCTGTTGTAAGAGACGGATGATTTCCATGCCTACGGGATTCACAGAATAGCTATCCCCGGTTGAGGGATTGAACAGGAAACCGGTATCGCTGATGGCTACATTTTTTTTGAGTCTCATAACTGACAAATAAAAAATTACGGTACGCCAAGGTACAGCTACAAACCTACAATTCATTTGTACAATTTTATGCAGGGTAGTCATTTTGAGTATCGTTATCAATTCCCGATATTGCAGCACAGATGTTTAGCGGTTTGCTTCTTCAGCAAGTGACCGGTTCATCAATATCCACCCGCGAAAAATTGTGAACGGCCGGAACTATATACAATTAAAGTTGAAAGACCTGATCAGTAAAGCGGGGGTGCGGCTTATTGAAGTATATGTATCCCAGGCGGAGGGCCTGGACCTGCACTACGCACATATGGGCGAGGTAGGCTTGTACTATGATGCCACCATTTATGATGAAGAAAAAATAGGGGCGTTCTTCACCGGCCTGGGTTTTGAATTGCTGACGGACCCGGAAGATGAGCTGGTGGAACGGATCCGCATTGCGGCTATAGAGCTGATCCACTATGCGAGCAATGTCAATTCACTGATCCGCAACTCAGACTATATCAGTGAGCGGTTGCAAATGCCGTATGATAAGCTCAGCCGTATTTTCTCAAAAAAGAAGTCGGTGACGCTGGAGGCCTACCTCATTAAACTAAAGATAGAAAAGGCGAAGGAGCTTATTGCGAGCGATAAATATACGCTCAGCGAGATCTCCTATATGCTTGAATACAGCAGTGTGCAATACCTGAGCAACCAGTTCAAAAAGGTGACCGGCATCACTGTGTCGCAGTTCAAGGAAAGCCCGAATACCTTCCGCATTCCCATTGAAGACCTGTAGCGTTTTATTT